GGGGGAGACGAAGGATGGGTATCCAGACAGAAGGGTCAGAACAGGGACAGGGTTATAGTGGGGTAGTGCAGTGAGCGGGTACAGCGGGGGTACAGAACTAAGCACATTTACACACACACGTCACTTACAGCTGCTGCAAGATTTTTCATATAAGGTGACACCTGAACTGGCTGTAGTCATTGGTGTGGAGGTGAAGAGCTTGCACAGGCCTCCATTCGGGTTGTAACTGACTGCTAAACAGTTACTGATGGCCAGACATAGTTCAGCACACGATCTAGCACTGTTGGTGAGACTGGTGGAGCTGGCAGAGGACGGCACGTCCATGTTCTCTGATCTCTCGAACTCACAAGAGGGACCTGCATGAAATTCAGTTAAAGTGAGACAGGCTGAGGTAAAGCGAGGTTGAGTGAGCTAACTGATGTGAGATGAGTAGAGGTAATCTGAGATGAGCTGAGTTTGAACGAGGTTAAATGAAATGGGGAGAGGTACATTGAAGTGATGTTGAGTTAGATGGGCTGACGTGCAACGAGAAATGACGTGAGTAGAAATCAGGTGAAGTAAACAACAATTGAGTTGAATTAAGGTGAGGTGAGATCACACGAGATGAGGGAAAATGAAATGAAATTGAATAAGTGAGGGGGATTAGGTAATGTGAGATAGTATAGGATGAGATGATAATATGGGGTTAAATGGCTGAGGTAAATAAAGAGAAATGAGTGGTGGTGAAAGTGGAATGAAGGAGGGTACATAAGGTGTAGGATATGAGATTTGGGTGAGCTGTAGTTGTAGTGAGGTGAGATAAATTTAGATGACGCGGGGAGGCTTTGGGTGAGAGAAGGTCGGCTGAGTTGAAGTTAAGAGACGTGTGTTAAGGTGAGACGAGATAAAAATAGATGTGAGAAGTAAAACATTGCAAAACAAAGTGTGCATAGCGACAGACCTGAGCCACTTTGTATCTTCTTGGAATAAACACTTCCAACAGTGGCAGTTGTAGTAGGTACTGACTCCAACAACTTGCACTCAGCGGGGCTGGAGCGAAAGACAAAGGCCATACACTCGGCGATTGAATTGCAGACTTTCTTACAGCTGTCTTCAATAGAGAGAGCCAGTGTGACTGCAGGACTATCTCCGTCAAGGTCAGCCGTATTGGACAGTGTGCAGGCTGGTGCTGGAGACAGAAGGAGAGGGTACAGAGGAGAGGTCTGAATGTAGGTAAAGAAGGGATACAAGGAAAAGGGTCGGGGGGG